TTTACATTGATACAATCTCAAAATTCCCTTTTATATATATATATAATCTTTATTCACAAAAGGTTACAAACCCATGAGTGTCATGGTATACAATCAATCATTTAATAATAAATATAGGTCAATGGTGACATATAACAATGAAATATAATAGTCTCTAAAAGACATGTGATTAAACATTTTATGTAACAATTCTTAATAGAATTAATTGTGTTGCATGCATTAAGCTTTTAAACACTAAGAAATAAAAAAAAGTAAATAAGATAAATTGCATTATGTTCTAACCGGAAGAAACTTAATAATTCACAATAGAACCTGAACTTGTGATTTAATACATTACAATCACATATAAATATGTATGTTTTACTTAAAGAAACTTAATATTGCATAATATAACATGAACTAATAATCAAATACACATGTGCATTACACTTACATATAAAATGTATATTTTTAAGTATTGAATGATTAAACAAAACAGATTATTAATATATACTTGTAAAAATGACGTTGTAGGAGAAAAGTGTGAATGAAAATATTTTTAAGAAAAATAAATCGGCGAACGGATTTCAAAAGCTTTATAAATAAAAGTGGACAGTTTTCTTATTATAGTAGTCGATTCATTTGACATTAATTCGATAAATTTAGGTATGTTTGGTCTTTTCCAGTAGTACTTTGGTAAATACTTCGTTCTTATTTCACAATATAAAGTACATTCTAATAAAAAACGGTATTCATCCTCGAGTTTGTTACATATTATACATTTTCTTTCATTTCTTGGAATTTTGTTTGGTTTATGCCATCTCCCTGTTTCAATTAATAACCTATGTGCTGAAACTCTAAATCTTGTTAATGCTATTCTAAATTTCTGAATGTTTTATATTTAATTCCGTTCATCTTATCCCCTCGCTGAAAAAGCTTTCAGAAAACGTTTCACGTGGAACTTCATAGAAATAATCAGATGGAGTAGAAAATCTCAAAGTCAATAATGGTAATGATGCTAAAAGGTTTTTCTTAGAGGAAACATAAAAGGTATAATTTGTTAAAACTAAACATTCATTACTTAGTATTTCATAAGTAGATGTAAAATACTTACTAACAGTCATAAAAGTATATCTATCAACAACGATAACGGAAACATGACACACAGGACCAAATCTACATCTTTAATGCAGTAGCTATAAATGATTTAAATCTTTTTTGCATGATACATTTATTAAAGAGAATGTAAAAAACAAAAAAGAAACATGTGGAAATATACTTTGTGGATTTTCATTACTATTTTGAATTTTAATAATGTGCACAACTCGTTTGAAGAGGGTCACGTTCTTACACGTAAAGAAGTGAAACAGCTTATTTTAGAGCCTAGAGCGCAGGAATTTCTTGCCGGATTTACCAGTTATCAAAGAACAGCTCTTTCTATACAGCTGCAAAGTTGTCCGTACACACCTCTATGTACATTTTCATTTGGCAAAATATTACCATTTCTAATGAACAGTTGTTGCGAGGACTGTAAATGTAACTTTCCTGAATGCTTAGACGAAAAATCGTGCTGTCTAGATATTATGTTCATGAACACAAACGAATCAAACAGTTCGATTACTACAACTGCCTATTTGAACAATCTTACTTTAACCGGAACACATAAAGTCTGCATTTCTTTCTATTTATCAAATGAAATATTAACAGAGTCTCAACTTAATGGCGCTTTGGGGTACGGAACCTGTCCTTTTGGTTCGAACAATATGCTGGTGCAAAACTGCACAAGGACATATTCGACTGACATAAATTCTTTGACCGATATAACCCCAGTTTTTGATAAAGAGTCAAATAAATTTTATAGAAATATATATTGTGCGTTATGCCACAAGATAACAGAAGAACACTTAGAGTTTTTAGGACATCAGTTTTCATGTAAATCATTTCAAGGAGTTACATTGAACAGTGGTAGTATTGTTAATACAGTGCTTAGTAACAACCATTGTGAGCTAAGGTTTGTTTTCAAACCTGGACAAAAATTTGATTCGTGCATTGCAGCGGTGTCCAAATGTGAATCCGGCAGCAACACTCAAGATGAAGATGCGTGTGGCTCATATAGATCTGTCATTGAAAAAACAATGGAAAAAGTTGCTTTGAAATTTTACAATCCTCATTGCATGAGGTGCAATGGTTTAAAACCTAGTATCTTATGTAAGCCAGACAGTCATCCTGGGGATGTTGAAGCTTTCGCATTTTCTGGTTTGTTGAAGCAAGAAGATAAAGAGAAGGAAAAAAGAAGTGATAAGACTGACGAAAGTCTTTGCTCAGACAATGAAATTTATGATACAATATCGGTACGTATGACATCATTGCCATATTAATCCATTTCCTTTATAACGTTGTTGATAACGTGTAATAAATTGGTTTATTAACAATATGATATGATCAAATTGTAAAAACCGTTACGGTTATAGCTCTAAAACATTGTATACACCTGTAAATTGTTATTTGCAGTCATTTTATGAAACTTAAATAAATAAAAAAAAAACTACTACCTTGTAACGCTTATATAGATTGCAATGCAAACGGATATCGGACTGAAATAGTAGACATGATTATGCAAATATCAAAATAATAATTATACCACAAATATTGTCCATTAACAGTGCCTTGCACAAAAGTGATTTAATGTACCAGTCAACTGTACACGTGACAATGACACAACCCACAATATAAGGGGTCGAAATTGTAACAAACATGAGCCGTGTTTTACCTTTCTCTTGTCCTTTATCTTTTTTCTGGAACGCAAACGCAGTGGTTTTGCTTTGACATCAACATTGCCAATGAGTCATTCTTGTAGTTCAGGTTATATGTACATAAGGTCTTTGAAATATTCAAACAGTAAAACAAAAGAGAATATTTCTCGTAAATGACCGGGGGATGGTAGGGGATGGTGGGGTTCGTTAATGAAATTGACTGGTGCATCTCTTTTTGATTAAAAAAGCTTGTGAAGTTAGTTATTATCTTATGTATTTAGTCCTTTTTTCAAAATAAAATAAAATGAAAAAATAAACTTAAAATGTATCGATAGGACACGGACGCCCTAATTGCTCACTGTCTACTGAGTAATAGCAGCACAGCATGACAGAGGGACAGGCAAAGGAAATTCTACATGACTACCCCCTACTGGTTGGGGCATGAAAACGAGATACATTTATTAATCCCCTTCCATAACTTAAAAACCTCTGATTTTTTTTTTAAAATAGCTTGGCACAAGTGATCACCATTATGAGACGATGTGCAGAGCGCAATAATTCAATTGCTACCCCCAAGGTCAAGGTCACACTTAAAGGTCAAATTTTAAAAGCCTTCATTTCATAATAAAAAGTCTACATTTCATGTCCGCTCTATTACTTTTAAACCGCTGAAAAATAAATGAAATAACTTTGCACAACTGATCACCATTATGAGACGACGTGCAGAACGCAATTATTGGGTTGCTACTCAAAAGGTCAAGGTCACGCTATAAGGTCAAATGTTAAAAGTCTACATTTCGTGTCCGCTCCATAACTTTTTAACCGCTGAAATTTTTAAAAATAACTTGGCACAATTGATTATTATTATAAGAACATGTACAAGGGCAATAACTGTGTTGCTACCGTTAAGGTCAAGGTGACACTGAAAAGTCAAATGTATCAAAGTCTACATTTCGTTTCCCTCCATAACTTTTAAATCTCTGATGTTTTTTAAATAGCTTGGCACAAGTGATCACCATTATGTGACGATATTCAATGCGCAATAATTGAATTGCTACCCCAAGGTCAAGGTCAGACTTACAGGTCAAATGTTACAAAGTCTACATTTCGTGTCTGTCCATAATATTTAAACCGCTGCAATGTTTTTAAGAAAACTTGGCAGAAATGATCACCATTATGACACCATTGGCAGAGCACAATAATCAAGTCACAACCCTGAAGGTCAGGGCCACACTCAAAGGTCCAATGTAAAAAAATCCCATCTATTTTTCATGTCACCTCTATAACTTATTGACAATTAAAAGGTTTTAAAATTACTTTGAACAAATGATCCCCACAATGGCATAATCTAAAGAGATCAACATCCTGCAAATTTTATACTAAGTCAAGGGCAATAAATATTTCAAAACTGAATCATCCACACACTAGTGCAAATACTAAATGCCGAAGCCCCCGGGGCACAAAAACGCATGCACATTGTGATGCGTAATGAGATATGATAATGGTTACACGATTGATACATTTTATCAGCATATATATTGCTTTGATATACATGCATGATTATGATGTACGAACATACTGAGTGGTTCATTTTGTAAAGATAGAATAATCAAAGTTTCTTGTTTATTGTAGATGACCTGCAGAGAGGTGAAATGTCCAGTTGTTATGGATAGTCCGCTAGGATTTTGCGTTTATAGTTTTAATGATATCAACAAAGTGATGTATAAAGTTTTCTTACGCTTAATACCTATGGACCGAATGTTATTACAGCAAGCGATAACATATTCTGAAGATGTTTTTCACTCCGTACAAAGGTTGTACATATCAAATATGAACAAATGTTCCTATCAAATGATGTTACAATCCGATCAAGAATTCGTTAGAACAGATGTCGATCACTTGTTAACACAACCAAATAATTCAAGCCTTATCTTCTATTATTTCAAAATGCAGTTTTTTGTTGATGAATACCACAAACCAATAGAGTACGTACAAAGTATTATCTCAAATCAAATTTTTACAGTTCCGAATTTTAACATTTCTTTTGAATCTAGAGTTTTTGACGGAAGTAATAAATTGTTTGACAACAACAATATAGATAGAAATAAGACATTTCCTGGCTATCGAAAACTTTCGGCATTTTTATATAAAAAGGTTGATTATGATGACAAATATTGTAGAGAGTATCAAAATCTGGGACAGAATATACTTTGGTTTTTACCATGCCCTAAGTTAAAGATATCTACTCTTGAATTTCAATGGTTTGAAATGGTCAAAGGTATTGTTTTACAGCCCGGCAACTTTCAAGTGAATAGCGACACCTTTTACTATATAGAATCAAACAGTATAATGCTTTGTGTAGAACAGTTTCAGGAATTTTTATCACGACATTTATCCAAACAAAATTCGTCTGGTTCCCTGTCGGACCATGACTTTATATCAACTGTTCTCTCTCTTATTTGTTCAACACTTTCTATTGTATCACTAGCAATAACGTTCATTATATATTCAATTTTGCCTCGGTTAAGGCTGACAATTCCTGGTAAGAACAACATGTCTTTGGTGTTCTTCATGCTACTTGCACAGGTCTTATACCTCATAAGTGGGTTTGGCAGTCTTAAAACCGACTCGACGGAGTGTTTTGTTTTAGGAATGGCGCTTCATTTTTTCTGGCTTATTTCTTTGTTTTGGATGAATATTTGCACGTTCCAAGCATTCCGTGTATTTTCTGATGTCAAGTTGTTATCACATCTGTCTGGGAACAAGCGATTTGTTGGTTACCATATCTTCGCTCTTGTTATATCTTCAGTCTTTGTTGCCTTAAATATTACTCTATCTACCTTACTATCAGGCCTAAGTGGATACGGCGGAAATAATTGTTACATTTCATCACAAGAAATGATAAACTTCACATTTGTTCTTCCGACTGGGTTTGTTATTCTAACAAATTTTGTAATGTTTTTGTACGTTATCATTACCATAAAGACGACTCATTCCGTCAAAAGGCATATTCAAAATGAACGAAGTGATTTAAACGTATTCCTGAAACTTTCAACAATTACTGGAGTGACTTGGATATTTGGTCTCTTGTACACATTTACAAATGTACGTGTATTTTCGTACCTCTTTATAGTTTTAAATGCTTGCCAGGGAGTATTTATCATGTTTGCCTTTGTAACAAACTCACGTGTTTTTAATTTAATGAAAACTTTTTCTACTTCACGTAATTCAACTAAAAGTCAGAATAAAACAGAGAAAACAGAAGCACTAAGGAATGTCAAGAACGACACAATTTAAAATGTTGCAGACTCGATTTGATAGTAAATACAACAGATATATGCCCAGTGCTTTATACGATATTCTAAAATATGTAATTAATATTTCCGTCGGTACTACAACTGCGGCCAGTTATACAACTAAATCGACTGGTAATTCGGGAATTCAATTTAAGCTGTTTTTCATTTATCTTTAGGTACATAAATGTCAAAGTTAATCCCTTAACACAATGAAGCAACCTTATATTGACCACAGACCTTTGCTTCGATCTAAAAAGAAAGTGCTATTCGCTAGTATGTATAGCGGTTTAACTATCATATCGTATGTTAAGTGGATAAAGTTACATGTTTGCCGTAAAAATATGTTTTTAATTTTGGAAAAGAATACATCTGAACTACCTGTATCAATGACATATGATTTCATCTATTCTTAACAGTGAAAGGCACATGCGGGAAATAATAGCTAAATATTTTCTATCATTTTATGTGTGTTAAATAACAAAGACATTTGATGTAACAATATATAAGAATATACAATAATGCCATGGGGGCGACATAATTTTACCGTTGATAATGTTTATTTCAAATGTTGTGTGGCGGCAAGTGTCAAGTGTTGTGTGGAAGCTTTGTAAAGTTTCCCCGTATTTCACTTCAGTGTTGTTACATTTTTCTAGTTCTTCGGGATCAGTGTTGAAAATTAAATATCGCTCAGGCCGGTGCAAGGGGGCATGAGGGAAGTTGCACTTTTTCAGATTTAATCAAACCGAGTCTGCAATTTTCATTTGTTGTTGTGATCAATGCTTCTGAGGGATTACATTTTATCCAGACTTTTATGAAAATATTTCAAAAGGTATAGCTTTGTACGCTTTGATACTTATGCTTGTCACTCTCGATAATTAACAAAAATAAACATCAATATGTCTAGATACAGATGTGTAACTTGTTCATTTATATAAATAGTAAAGGTGATCTTCATTGTTATTCATTTTTTAACGTAAAAACATACTGGCACTTCAATAGCCTGTACATTATTACATAATAATAAACTTTAAAACATGTCGCGAATGAAGCAAAGCCCCTTTATCTTCTTATGTCTAGATTCTTTCAGAAAAAAATAGTTTTGTTCTTGTATCAGTAGTAGAATCATATTGAAATTATCTAGCTTGATGACTTTCACCTTTTTTGGTAAAAGAGACCATAAGAAGCGTAGGAATGTATTGTTTTAGAATTGCCGCTTGCTATTTCCATATGATGAAGTATTGAATGGTATTTGTTTGTAATGCAATATTAGTAACAGAAATAAATGTATTCATTGTAATATTCAAATGTTATTACAACTTCGTTCTCACGCGTATTTTCCAATACAAAGATATTAAATAAAAAAACAAAACTCCAACAGATTTGTTAGTTAATGGAAATATGTAAAGCATGTTATGGAAGATTTATTGACATGTTATTCTTTTATCTTATTTAGGAACAAACAGGGAACGCATTTATTTAAATGATTTATTGTTAGAGTTAATAAATTTGAAACAGGTTACTTACATCTTTTTAGTTATAATAATAACTTTTCTAATGTGATCTGGTATATCATAAGAAACTTGACTTTAATGTTGTTATATTTTTCTGGTCCTACGGTATCATTGATGCCAGGACTATTGAGGATTGAGTAATTTAGTTGTGATTTATGTTTCCGAAGGATCACTTGTTTCTAGATTTTTACACGTGTGCAAAGGCCGAAGGGCTTGAATTATATCGTGACTGAGACTACAAACAGGACTTATTTTGTTGTTATCTCTTCTGGCTGTTTTTCTTTGTTTTGATATCATTTCCCAATGGTTTGAGTAATTCTTTTAAGAAAATGATGAAAGATATAACATAACAAAACAGAATATTTTATTGGCATTAGATATAAACAATATTTATAGCCATATTAATATAAACATGTATAGTGGCGCGTACAAACTTGTCAAAAAGAACAAAAAATAAATACTTTAGATTAAACAATTTAGATTTAAAAAAATATTTTCAATTTGTTAATAGATATTCTTATTCTTGAATGAGAGTGTCATTATTGTCATTTTCTGAAAGCCAAATATAAAAATCGTTCTACTTTGTAAATAGATCTTATAGAATCTGTTGACATTAAAGTAGTAAACGTTTAAATAGATGGACATCTACAAAAATACGGAGTGAAAGTTTTGATTCGTAACTACCTATATGTAAGACAAACAAGAAAAAGTGGAAAAAAGGATCTTCAACCATATTCACATTACATTATGTGTGCAGTATTGTTACGAAGTTCATTTCGTCCGAACATCATGACACTTTTTATAACTCCGGAAACCACGTTAATATTTGTTGACAGTTATCATATTCATTCTGATCTATTAAAATATGTATAACACTTAATGTTTACGCCAGTTTGCCCATTCGTAATCCCTTATTTAATGCTACATAACTCATCAAACTTGTGCCATGCCTTGTGTTTCACCCATTATTAGTTGGTACTGATTAGAATTCCAGATGGAGACGTAGAATATGTTATGTATTTAATCGAGTTAAGATGGAGACAATATGACGTCATCAAATAGATCACATGACCCATCTGGGTACAAAGTGACGTCATTATATGAAGTCACGTTACTGTTTCAAGGGTCATGTGACCTTTTCCTATAAATACCCCAGATTTTCCCTTGAACTTTGTCAATTGTATTGTCCGCTTTACAGACGCAACCTCTATACACAATGTCTTATAGAAAATATCCATCTGGAGAGGTAGTACCCAGAATCATTTAATAAATATATTTCACTTATTAAAATAACTATAATAAACGTATAATTACAAGTATTTATAAACTTGTACAGAATATTTATCTATGTAACCAAGGTAAACAAACCCAACTGGAGTGGTTTCCGGATATGTACCCATTTTGACTACATGTATTATTTATATTACTGTTGACTGTGTATACATGAATGAATGACGTTGATGATGAATAAATGAGATGTTAAACTAAATACTGGCTTTCTCCTGATACAACATACCCTGACTATTGAATACCTATAGAAGTGAAGCTATAGTGATCTACCCGCTATATAGGCCTACATCCTGAGAAGTATAAAATGTTACCCGGGGACTAGCAGGCTCTCCCCGGTCCGGGGAACCGTAACAGTATCGTTGTTGTCGGACAGTATTGTTATATCGTCCAGTTTCAATGGCTTAATTATTTGTATATAATCTAAACTTTGTTATTGTAGTTTTATATTAAGTGTCCATGATTAACTGCATGTACTTCTCAATTTCAAATTCGTGTTTGAATAAACAGTAGTGAGATAACCTATTAGAATTATCAATTGTAGTATACCACGATTGTTTGAGATATTTAGTATTGTTGTTTAAAAATTACATTATTGATATGATGGGGACATAATTTTCAAAATCCTCTAGCAAAACGTTAATATGATGTGCCCAATTTAGACCATTGTATGAACTACTATTGTTTGCGTCAAATTTTCATTATATATTATACAATTATTGACTAGTGAGCCATTGATTATGATGTGATATTTACCGGCAGATGACATACTGACCGAGGCGATGTTTTCACCACATGACTGACAAGTTTAAAATGGCGGGGCGCGGAGCGAAAACAGGCTTATTAGTTACGACTAGTAAATGAGCTACCTCTTTCGGAGGTATACGGTAAATCGCTCTAACACTACTTCCGAGCTAGTGCATATCGCTAAAATCAAGTGTTTAGTGTTCATTTTTTATATATTTTGGAAATTTTACACCAAATATCAAAATTCGGAGAAGGCTATGCTGTGTAAGTTTGATAAAAGTTTCCAGAAAAAATAAAGTTATTATAATTGTGTTTGAAATGTAGTTGTGGCAGCGTTTCCTATTTAGCGAATTCCACGTTGAAATGGACCGTTTCATCTTGAAAGAGATTATTTTACCTTCAATTCTTATCTATACAGTGATCCAGATTAAAAACATTTTTTTAAAAAATAGATATAAGGTATAGAAATGACATAAGATTGAAATCATATCAAAATATTAGTAAATAAAGAAAATATAGAATATTTGTTTTTGGAGAAAGCTCTGTCGTGAAGGAGGTAGTCATGTCGCCAAGGAGATAGCTCTATGGTTACGTACAAAGTATCTGAATTTTTGTTTACTTTGTATTCATAACATTTATCACGACTCAAAATTTTAATAAAAGCAACATTTTTGAGAAGAGAAAAATTATGTGACGTGCATTATTAAAAATAACAAATATTAGGAAAAAGCGGATAAAATGTGTGTTATTTCTCTTCCAAACACCCCATCTTAACTTCTCAAGATGTTGAAAAAAGTAATTTATTTTTAAAAATCTAATTATGTGACTAATTTGTTTTCTGTTTGCTTCACAGGCAAATCGGATAAAGGATATAATCAGGTATATTGAATGCATTATCACCTGTTCTGATATTTTTTCAGAATGATAAATAATATCGATTTCAAGTTATAAAATTTCTTTTGTTTTTAAATGAACTATTTAAACAGCAAATAAGTTGACTTTTCATTTGCTAATAGATACATTTCCACATCTTCTTAAAAAAAAAGATCTCAGTGTCGAGTCCGTGATCGTAAATTCTTAAACAAGTATCTTTTCCATGACTTTTTATGGCATTCTCCGCCGCAAAGCTATAAAGTCATCTTTTCTATATTTCAAATATAAAAGCTATTTTATATAATATTCTACCGTTTACCTTGAACTAACTCGGAATTGTCTATGAACTTCCACTATATTTCTATGTAGGGCGATGCATTTTTTTGCCACACGCAGATTGCGCATGCGTGAGAAAATTCTAATTCCGGTCGATTTTTCATAGCAACTGACCGCGTCGTAAAAATGTCTATACGTTATTGTATTAAAAGATACGACGAAACTCATAAGTCAGATTGAAATTCTCGCGAGTGATCTTGAAAAAGTAGCATTGTCATAGAAGTATTTTTGATGATGTTTAAAGTAT